GATACCGGATGGAAAAAGAAAGAAAGAAAGAAAAGGTGTAGGTTATTCATGCATGGTAAAAGTGTGAAACAAATTGGATTGATTTTAATAAAAGTTGATTTCCAAACGATTATTCATAAAGTTTACATTATCTTTTGTTAAAACTTTACAAACTGAAATTATTCTAAAACATTCACCAAACATTTGGTAAAAGTCTTTTTCAAGCTTAATGTTTTTAACAATGACACAACACTTGTAAAATGGTCATTTGAATTGATTCTTCACCAAATTCACTACTAGAGATAAAATTAATTATAGAATTAACTAAAGGTGATTTGAAAGATGCATCATAATGAACCAATAATCAGTCAAAATATTTCTTTAATATTGTTATTTTTTAATTAAAAAAGTTGGTTAGAATTAGTCTTGATAGAGAATTATAGAAATGGTAAAAATACCAATTCCAACTTAGAGAAAAAAATAATAAAAAGGAAAAAAAAACATGAAGATAAAACAATCAACTATATAAGAGAATATTCCATCGATTTTTTGTTCTATTATAAGCAACTTATTTAGCCTATTTTTAAAAGTTATGCAAATACCGTCCTTGGGAAAATACCCTTTCGATTCGGTTAATGTCAGATTCATGTCTAATATTTGCTCACCTTTTCAACAATTTTAAGAAAAATTAGACTGTGATCTAATGTCTTTGATAAGATCTTCAATTTTCTCAAAAAGAATATTTAAATGTGAGCTAAAAGAACCATAATTGAAAAGGGTCATTTACTAAATAGTTTTACCGAAAAGGGCAAAAATTTCACTGGAACTACCGCGATGAAATTGCACGAACATCCTTTCAAATGTGTTGGTTTTTAACTTTTGCTCTTCAAATGAACTGGTCTTTAAATTTTTATCTTTTAGCAATCAAATATATGCTAGTGGACATAAGTTTTTGAAGGGAAAAAGTCATGCGGGATATAACGTGTGATATATTATGGTGCGTAAATATAAACTTATGCTCTACGGAAAGAGTATTTGTTACACTGGGATAAAAATTAAAAACCAACACAAAAATTAGGCCAAAAGTGCAAATGACCCAACTACTGTAGGTTGAATGAAAATGGCCCAATCTAGCCTTGTTCTGCAGCCCAACAAACTGTCAGTTGGCCCATAGTTGTACCAAGGCCCATTTAAGTTTGGCCCATAAAATCCTAACCCAAAGATCTATTGTTTGGAAAAATATTTTGTTGAACGAAAATTAAAAAAAAAATTTAATTAAATCTTGTATTTATCTTTCTTGTATATATACATAAGATATTCCATCTTAAATTTTATATTTTTCTCAAACAAAATCTCATAACACGTATTATTCGCTTTGACCTAATAGACTTTATAAATTTTTCCTTTTGATTACATTGCATCGAACATGTATTGCATTTGGATTTGCTAGTACATTGTCATATATAGGGCACAATTTCCCCCTCCATTTCCAATGTGAAATTCGGAGCCTCTTTAGAAGCTTTGGTCCACTCTTAACTCGCTTTTATTTATGCTCGTCTTCTATTATGATCATCAGTCATCACATATACAACTCTTCTTTGGAGACTTATTAATGTTTTCGTGGAGCTTTATTTCAACGTTATGTTAAGAAACTTTAACACCAGATTTATCATAAATCAAAATCCATGACACGTATTATACACCTTAGACTAATAAATTTTACGAATTTATACTTTAGGCTACGCCACATCAAACTCGAAATTTGTTCACAGCAGAAAGTTCCAGCAAATTAAACCCCTATACACTAGCTACGAATCATCATATAAATAAATCCAACTAAAATAAATGTGTAGGGGGCAGTAGATAAATTAATTAGTGTGTAATTAAATGCTCTTCATTGCATAATTAATGAAAATAAAGAGGTCTTTAATTGGACTACTTTTTAAATTAAGAAAAGAAACCTCAGCACGTTTTTACGTAGGTCACTATGGTGTAATTTAGGTAGTCCCCTCTCATCGGCTCGAGCTAAAAATTCGTATACAAATTCAATCGAACTCAATAATATTAAAAAAAAGTTTTTATCGCTTAAAGTCTGATTACTTTAACATTTAAAATTCATAAAATTGAAATTTTAACTCCGCATTTGCCCCTCTTATTTCTATCATTTGTACTGCCTTATTTGTTTGACACGTGTCCTAATAAATTTTATATTGAGTTGTATAAGTATTTAAATGTTTGTAGGGTTTGTAGGGTGGCCATTACATTACATGTTGACCAAATTATTGCCTTATTTAATTTCATTGCGGTAACAAATATTATATTACAAAAGGTGTATTTGTTAACATCACATGCATGCCAATTTTGCCAGCAGATCAATCATATTTTTGGGAAGACATATAATGCTAAATAAAGTAATTTATGTTTTATTGCAAAATAAAATAAAATATATAGTTTCACCTACGTGAATTAATGTATATGAGTTGGTAAAAAATAACAAATATTTCATAAATTATATTAGATGATAACGTGTTAGATATCACCAAAGAATGATATGAGGAGATACGTGAGATTTCTTCATTTTATTTATCAAGAGGTTTTGAGCTCAACCCATAGAATGAAGAAATTCATGGTATGCAATTACTGGTACAAAGAATATACTTTAGGGTTCAGAAGTCTGATCACGATTCCGAATCATGTATATAGAAGCCCCTTTAATTTAGAGTATTTCACTCTTATCGTAAAACTTTTCGACGCGAATCTAAATAGTCATACTTGAAAGCGAAAGCGAATATTGAATATCGAATGAAAACTAAAAAAAGACAGGAACATAATTAATTTAGAACAATTAATAATGGAATACCTTTTGTATCAACATTTTGTTTTTCAATTCGACCAATTTGATGATTTTATTTCACAGTCTATTGGTTTAATAATTTGAATTCACGCTAAGTAAATCTAATGAAAAGGTAAATGACTCTCAATTTGCTATGTCAACTGATATATTTATACTGACGGTGCATATAAAAAAAAACTTCCAACGTTGCATGCATTATTAATTTGACATGTTAAAGTCTCTAAAGGTCACGATGAGACATGAAAAATTAATCAAACTATATACCCTTAGAGAAAGGGCATAAATAATATAGAGAAATCACATGTTTCCCTCTTTCATTTTTGTTAATTTTGGTGAAAAGGAATTAAAAGTTACATGAAATTAAAATAAAAGCATTTTATTACCCTAAAAAGATAACAAGAATTTCGTGACACTTACTTTTCCCATTTCATATTATTGATTCTTTCTATCAACCATTATTCTCTCTTTTTTTTACTATTTCCTCCCCCCCTTTTTTTTTTATGTAAATTCTTCTTTATTAATTAATTGAATTTCTAACATTTTAAAAATAATAATAAGAGAGGGCCTATACCAATACTATATTATGTGTTGTTTTCTCTATCTAGATATTAGTCAAAATTAGGGGAAGAATAATTATAGTGTTCACACACACACACACAAAAAAAAAAATAGTAAATAAATTAATGTAGCCTAGTGCCCTATCTGTACATTTGAATTTAATTAAAAGGTGAAATTATATAGTATTTCTTTTGTTTTAAGAATCGTGATTTATAAAATAAAGAAATAGTTACTTTTTAAAATATTTTTTAAGGTCAATGTTTGATAATGTCCACCTTTTGCTTACCAAGTTATACGCTCTTTCAATCTCTAGTCTGTCACCTTCTATTATCGATATTTTCATTATTAGATATCTATAAGGGTGATCATCAAATTTTTTTTGCTCAAAGTTTAAAATTAGTTACCCCTCCTTTCATCATGTTGATTGTATTCTTAAAGTTATCGAGTTGAGTTTTCTTGAATATTACTTCTATCATGAATCTCCTACTTGACTTGTATAAATTTTGTTTCTAAAAAATCACGACGTTGCATCGAGAGTTTCATAGATGAAAGTATTCAAAGAGTCAAGTTTTTTTTAACGTTTAAGTTATAACTTGTCTGTACGTCTATCTTAATTAAAAAAATTAGAAGAGATTGATTTAACTTGTTGTTTGTTTAATTTCTTAAATACTTATGTATCGTGTTATAAATTCTTTTAGTTCATGTTTTAGAACTTGAAATTAAGTACCTCTATTATTGGGCTATATTATTAATAATAACTCTATAATTTTATGATTTTTGACTACTAGTCCCATCTCTCATAATTGATTCATAACTTATTTAATGCTATTTATAACTCTATATTAGTCTACATCCTTATCGTCGGTCATTATTAATATTATGTGAATTTGGTGATTAATAGTATGACGATATTTTAAGTTATATACACAGATAATAACTAATACTCCCTCCGTTTCAAAAAGAATGATCTCCTTTCCTTTTTAGTCTGTTTCAAAAAGAATGACCCCTTTCCTTTTTTGGTAACATTTTACTTTCAACTTTCCACGTGGCATGTTTAAGACCACAAGATTAAAGGGCAATTTTGTACATTTGACATAACTTTAATTTAGGGCTACAAAATTCAAAAGTCTTCTTTATTTTCTTAAACTCCGTACCAAGTCAAATTAGGCCACTCTTTGTGAAACGGAGGGAGTAGTATAATTTAAACATGTTACTTTATTTTCCAATTTAGCAGATCATGTTTGTTATATATAGTTTACTCGTTATTACAGATAACTTGATATAATCGTGCAAAAATATTAATAATTGATGTTAGTGCATAAAATTTAAACCCTGATCGCTATATAATTATAATAATATAGTACAATTTTAATAGTTTTAGTGACAAATGGTTAATTATATTTAAATATATATGATAAGACTTTAAATGAACCTACATATATCTACCTTCTTAAATGCCTACCATACTCCATATTATTGCTTTTAATTTACTATGTGGAAGAAATTACATACACCAATGAGCTTGATTATCATTAACTAAGTTGCCTTCACTCAAATGTTGAATAATTAATTTACAAAATAAATAAGACTTTGTGATTGATATGAGAAGAAAGCTATAATATTGGAGCTTATTTTAACATCAAATTAGAAAAGTTACATAAAATTAGAACTATATGTTAACTTAAAAGTTAAAACTTCACACACATCTAAGGACTTCGTCCAGGTCCTGTCATCAGAAACATTATTCGATTGACATAACATTTCACTACATACACTTGAACTAGCAGCTTTCAAGATCTCATCACTTCGATTGAATCACTTGAGCATTAATACATTTCCCATGCCATGAAGCTAAAAACCTTCCTTGATTGGCAGAACGTTCTGCTAATAACACTTGAAAAAGCAATTTTCAAGATCTCATCATTTCTGTTGATGAATCACTTGAATACTGAGCTAGTAAGCTATTATATGCCGCTCATGGACCAGTAAGCTATTACGCTTTCTTCAAATAATAGGCCATGAATGCATGCCCCCAAATAAACTCCACACAAGAAAAGAAGAAAAAAAGTAGTCATAAGTTATAATTATAGAGAAAATAATTGGTATTATTATGTGAATATCATTGGAAGTTCCATGAGTTCTTCAACTTGACCACCATTTTCTTCTAGTAGCCACTTTTCAAGATATGTGAATGGAGGAGGACTTGCCTTTTCATGTGTAACAACTTCACTACTTTCACAATTAATATTATAACTTGATTTCTCATTTGGAATTGTTACAACATCATCATTGCTAACTCCTCCATCTTGATCTTGATTTTTTTGTGCCTCATGCAACATTTCATCATGATCAATATTGTTTCTTCTAGAAGGATTAGGGGAAGATCTCATCCAACCTTCTAGAAGTCTTGAAATATTTTCTGTACTAGAAGCATACAATGATGATGATGATGAAGAATTTGGAGAGTTTAATAACTTTGAGAATTGATGATGATCATAGTTATTAGTGCTAGAATTGTCAAAATTAGGAGGAGGAAGAGGCAAATTATTATGTGAATCCAATTCTGTTTGGAATTTCTTGAGTTTCTTCTTTAGATGCGTGTTCCAGTAATTCTTGATATCATTGTCTGTCCTTTGTGGTAGATATGAAGCTATAGCTGCCCATCTGTACAAACATATACATATACATTTCAATCTCTAATAAGTTGAAAAGTCAGCTATATGAATTTTCACTGTCTGTTTACGCTCATCTCAAAGATTTTTTATTTTAATTGTATGATTAAAATAAGAATGTTTGAGTAAAAAAAAAATGTAATTAAGAAGGTGAAGAACATTACTTGTTACCCAACAAAGCTTGAAGATGAATAATCATTCCTTCTTCATGTGGAGTGAAATTCCCCCTTTTGATTCCTGGCCTCAAGTAATTTGTCCACCTTAGCCTACAACTTTTGCTGCATCTCATCAACCCTTTAAGAAACAAAAAAGTTGCTTCATTAAACAATTAAATAGAGAAAATTATAATCTTTTCTATAAAGAAAAAAGAAAAAATTAACCCTATAATTATAACACCAACATAAAGTAACTATAAACCAATATTAACACTAGGGAGTGGTCCTTCTGGTGGAGTGCTAAGTACTTCTTTAATAAAAAGTTTCATATTCAAGCCTCGAATCGGATATGAATCACCTTAAGACTTTACCTATATGGACTTTCCAACAGGAATTTCAGTCGGACTTCAATGTGAGTACCAGACTTCAGATATGGAAATCGAACCTCAATATGAGTACCAGACATCATCAGATATGGAAAAAATAATAATCAAGATTGCAACTAACTTACCAGTATTAGTAGGGACTGATCTCCAATTTCCAGGACCATGTTCTTGAATATAAGAGACTAAAATGATATCTTCTTCAGGAGTCCAAGGACCTTTCTTGATACCTATTTTATCACAACAAGGTGGCCTCCCCATACTTTGTTTTTTTTTTTTTTTGGGGGGGGGGGGGCAGTGTTTGTGTTATTTTGTTGTATGAAAGTGTTTTTGATGGATATGAAAATGGGGGGCATATTATATAGATAGGTGTTTAAATAAAGGGAGGTGATTGGAAGAAAAAAGAAAAAATAGTCTTTAATTCAATTCATTGTTGAATTTGGTGGACACACATAGGTTCTGTGTCCTTTTTTTGTGGTACTTTAATGTTAAAGAGTTTTACAACACTTGTTGAAGTTAGAAGGGGTGTTTGAATTTACTAGTTCATGACTCTTTCTTCTCTTTACATCTGTATACTTCATAAAATAGGGGTAGAAAAAGAAAGGGGAAAAAAGAGAGGATATATTTGGTTGATACCATTTTTTGCCAATATCATTTTAATATGCATAGCACGTAAATGTGCCCTTTAACTTGACCTTATTTGACATATATGTCTTCTAACTTTTGATGTGCACAAGTAGACACTTAAACTTATATAGATTTGAACAAGTAGACACACGTCCAACGTGACAATTTACGTTCTACGCGATATCCTATGTGTATTATGTCATGTAAAATAGGCGTGTCTACTTGTTTAGCTTAATACAAGTTTAAGTGCATACTTGGATATACGAGATAAGTTAAAAAACATATTGAATCAAGAAAAGCAAATATGCATAGAGGGACATTTAACTTATAGATGTTATGACGTGAAAATGTAAATTTATGCCCTACGAAAAAATTAAATACCTCGAAGGAACAAAAATTAAAGACTAGCACAAAATAGGGTAAAACTTAAAAGTGTGAATGACCCATTTTATATGTTTATTGGATTTTTGTATGAGCTGAACTTGGGCCCAATTTTTATTTTATTTTTTCACTTGGGGATCCAAATCGTAGCCCATACACTTTAATATGGCCTAACCCGACCCGTTATATTTGGTCGTTTTGTAGCACCAAATTGACTGTTGATGGCTTCTCTTTCTGCTCATTCTCTCAAAAAATTCAGCTAATGGCAGAGCAGAAAGATGAAGCAGAAGTCAATCAATCCACTGAACAATCTCAATCTGTAAGTCTTCTATCTTCTATTGATCTTCTGTAATTAGTTTTTTGATTTCTGTTAATTGTTGACTAAATTGGTCGTGTTCGAGCTGTGGAAACAGTCACTAATACTTGCATTATGATAGACTGTGTAGATCATGGTCCTTCTATGGACCTTGTTAATGCAGGATGATGCTTTATGCATCGGACTGACCTTTTGCTCTTATGGACTGTTTGTTCAAAATGAAATTGAGTGCTTTTGTTCTTATCAAAATAAAAAATAAAAAATTGAGTGCTTTTGTAATCAGTTATTAGAATTGTTTGCTCTATTTCCTACTAGAGTAGTTCATTTTTGCTGATTGCTTTTTTGGAAATGATTTTATATTCTTTGATTCTTATAAAATTACAAAGGGGAACAATGGTAAAGTTGTTTATGTGTGACCTATATGTTATGGGTTCGAGAGATGGAATTAGTCATTGATGCTTATGTTAGGGTAGACTGCTTATATCAAACCCCCTTGTTGCAGTGGCGGAGCCAGGATTTTTAATAAGGGGATTCAAAATCTAAAGAAATAAACACGAAGTAGCCGAAGAGGGTTCGACATCTACTATATATATACCTAAAAAAAATATTTTAACCATGTATAATAATATAATTTTCCACCGAAGGAGGTTAGGATGAACCCCTGACTATAAGGTGGCTCCGCCACTGCCCCTTGGGTCAAGCCCTTCCTTGGACACTGCATGAATGTTGAATGCTTTGTGCTTATGAGATTCTGGTTTTTTGATATAGTTCGTTATGGGCTGTTTGATTATTCAGTTCACTGTGAAATTTCATTCTTTGACTGCTCTGCTCCCCCCTAAAAAAAGAGAGACTGAATTTCTTCCACCTTCCCTGTACGAGTAGTGAAGAAGTATAGATTTAGTTGGTTGTTGACCAACGGAAAGCATGGGTTCAAAAAAGGAAGAATTTACGCAATTTCTTTTCTAAGAAAGAGATCATAGTGATTGATGGCTCTTTCAATCCAGCGAAATGGAATTGGCGTGTACCAATTTGAGTATTATTATAATTAGTAATTAAAGTTGTTTTCTTTTTCTTGTTTTGACAAGAACAGTTTATTTTCTAATATCTATTTTGAGGTTGAAAGTGATAATATCCCTTGATTCTTTATGAAACTATCATATTAATATGTTGATTGACTGTTTGATTGTTCATTTTCACTGTGAAATTGGATATTCTTGTAATCGGTGAGTTAAAATGTTGTTCTTAATTTCTACAAGAAATGTTCGTTGACTAATTGCTACCTTGAAGTTTATGGAAGTGATATTAGCTTTGATTCTTCTTACTTATGTGTTTTGATACAGTTGATTAGTGTCCATTGGATCATTTAGCATAATGGAATTAAGGAATTGTTATACTTATAAAAAAAAGTTGGGTACTTTTGCCATCAGAAATTGAATTTGATCTTATAATTTCTGCATTGTAGTTTGTGGAAGTGATTTCCAGAAGCACCGGCAAGACTTGGCGATTTGCTGCTGGAACAGAGGCAAAATTTGCACTGAAATTTATCAATAGCAGTAGCGTTGATTCTATCTTGGCAAACCAACCTGCAACTTACGTTGAAGCTGTTAAAGATGGGGAAGTGCCTGTGATTTTTGGCCCCAATTCAATTCTTGTGAATTATGGCAAAGGATGGAAATTGCAGCCAGTCACTGAGACAACAAGTAAGCTATTATGATATTTAATTGTTTTTGGTACCTAAATTACTTAGAAATAGGAAACTGTCTGTAGTAAGATTTTTTTGTATCTCTTGCAGAAGGTTTTTCAAGAGGGATGCCTGATGATTACGCAGCAGCAAGACCAGAATATATTCCTCCGGTATGATTGTAATCACACTAATCATAATATTTATCCTCTTACATGATTATTGTTCTTTGTATGTCCCAATCTGAATATCTTTGCTTAATGTGTTTTGGAAGTTAAACATAAGTAAGTTCACGTTTAACTAATTGATTTTTTTTTGTTTAATAGAAATAGATCAATTGAAGTTACATGAAAAATTGTTTAAAGGAATTTTGATCGTGTATTTTCAGCTGTGACTCTAAAAGCTTCTCCACAAATGAAGTCAACACTATTTTCAAAATGATTAATTAAGGAAAGCTGGACATTCAATAAGGATATCTTTCATTTTGTTCATTTTGGAAGTCTGCATTATAATTTTTCAGGTAGCTATTGTCATTCACGGTGTCTAAATTTGCATTTCCTTGCTTTACAACCTGCAAATTTGAACACTCAATCAAATGCAGATGTAAATAAAAGGCGTTGAAATAGCCCCTTGCGTTCTCATGTATTTGGATATTATTTCAGACTTGTTTTTGCTTCATCTTGATCAAAAATTCGTTATTGCTTCATTCACTGGAGAACTTTTAAGTATTTGAATGTTCCTCAGATGATTTCTTGGGTACTTCATAGTTCTCTTTTATTAAAGATTTTGGCTTTTACACCATTTTTCAGTGTACATATGTCAAAATTGTATGTAAATGAGCATCTATGCCAAGTTATAGACTTTCTCATATAACTCACATTTGAATCTTTCTATGCTTTTGCTTTCTTAAATCTGTCTCCACCAATCAGGTACTAGATAACGAGAAATAACATGCTGAGAATTGTTTTTAGGAAACAGAGACACCACGTCGGTTAATGCTTATTAGTGAGATGGTATACATTAGGGTACGGAAGCAATATGTACAAACTTTTTTCTACAAACTCATATCGTATTCTCGAAGTGTGCAAGACTTATGAGAAATTTTCATAAAGATTTTTCTAATACAGTATTGATAAAAGCAATTGGCCTAATTCTTTTAAACAATGTCAGTAAAAGGAACTTTATTCATGTTCATGAGTGATGACATCTCCTCTTTTTATTTGATTGAAGAGGTAGGGGGAGGACAAAGGTATGTGGTGGTTACAAGAAGAAGAATAACACTCTGGTGGAGGGGTGATGAAATAATCAGATATTAGCTTTGTTCAAAAACCGTGAATAATATTGCATCCCCGAGTATAAGAAATAGTCTTGTGACCACCATTTCCTTATTATTTCGTGTTGTTTCCACTTTCCTCTTGTCCCAGGGTGCGTCTCACCCCACGAGTTTGAGCTAAAGACCCAAAGTGATTGATCAGGAATCCTGTATGAGAAGAAAAACACACAGAGGTTCTGATTCTCTGTCTTCCATTTTTTGCAGGTTTCGGACAACCCACATTCTGCAGAGAGAAATTCACAAGCTGCTCTAAGCCCTGTCTACATCGGAAAGATATTGCTTGTATTTGTTCTAATGTTCTTGATTGGTGCCGTCTTCACCTTGTTGCTGGATAACCTTCCACAGCTTTTATCTAGATATGGACTCGACGTTGAATAGCGTCTTTGAGATACATATAAGCCTGTAATTACATTTGCTTGTGTAAAAAATCTGAAATATTTGCCTGTGGTTCATGTTATATTGTAAAGCTCTTCTAAAAGATTTGTTGCTTCTCATCACTTGTTGTCTTACTGCTGTGTTTGCTAATCTGATATTGAAAATTTTCCAACTTTCCTATCCTGGGCATTGTAATGGGTCAGAAACATAAAACTGCATGTTTTGCCTTTCAAATGAGTTGGTTTTTAATCGTTGCCCTTTAGCGATCGAGTTCAAGTCTTTTGGACATAAATTCTTTAGAAATCGAAGTCATATTTGAGAATAACTTGTGATATATTATGGTATGAAATATAAACTTATGCTCCACGAAAAAAGTTATTTGTTATGACTTACGACTTATGAGGGGCAAAAATTAAAGACAAACACAAAATAGAGACAAAAGTGTACGCAAACCACAGAAAAGAGCACTCCTTATGGTATGATGATTAACTACTCTTTTGTTTCAATTTGTTTGTATTATTTTTTTTTAGTTTGTCTAAATAAGGACTCTT